AGATAATGTGGTATGTTTCTTTCATTGCCTGGCTTATTTCACCTAACATAATGCTGCCCAGATACATCCATGCTGCTGCAAGTGGTAAGAATCCCTTCCTTTTTACAGCAGCATAGTATTCCATTGTGTAGATGTACCAGTTTTCTAATCCACTCATCTGCAGATGGTCTGTTTCCAAATCTTATCTATGATGAATCATGCTGCTATGAACATAGGGGTGCATATATCCTTTCTGACTGGTGTTTCTAGTTTCTTGGGATATATTCCTAGAAGAGGGATTACTGGATCAAATGGGAGTTTCATTTTTAGTTTTTTGAGGAAACTCCATACTGTTCTCCACAGTGGCTGCACCAGTCTGCATTCCCACCACAGTGGGTGAGGATTCCTTTTTCTCTGCATCCTCAACAGCACTTGTGGTTTGTTGATTTGTTGGAGATAGCCTTTTTGACAGGTGTGAGATGGTACTGCATTGTTGTTTTGTTTTGCATCTCTCAGATAATTAGTAACTTTGAGCATGTTTTCATATGTCTCTTGGCCTTCCTTATGTCTTTTTTTTTTTTTTTTTTAAAAGTTTCTATTTAGGTCCCTTGCCCATTTTTTTATTGGATCATTTATCTTCCTTTTATTAAGTTGTATCAGTTCCCTGTAAATGTTGTAGATTAAACCTTTATCAGTGATAACATTTATAAATATGTTCTCCCATAGAGTGGACTTTCTTGTTGTTTTGCTAATGGTTTCTTTTCCTATACAAAAGCTTTTTATTTTGATGTAGTACCTTTTTTTCTCCCTAGTTTTTCTTGCCCTAAGAGCCATATCTGTGAAGAAATTGCTTCGACTTATGTCTGAGATTTTGCTGCCTGTGGATTCCTCTAGAATCTTTATGGTTTCCCATCTTATGTTTAAGCCCTTTATCCATTTTGAGTGTATGGTGTAAGTTGGTGGTCAAGTTTTAATTTTTTGTATATATCGGTTCAATTTCCCCAACACCATTTATTAAAGAGGCTGTCAGACTCTATTGTATGTTCATGCCTTCTTTGTCAAATATTAATTGAGCATAGTGTTTTGGATCAATATCTGGATTCAGTATTCTATTCCATTGGTCTATATGTCTGTTCTTGTGCCAGTACCAGGCTGTTTTTAGAACAGTGGCTTTGTAATACAGATTGAAATCTGGTATTGAGATCCCACATACTTTGTTCTTCTTTCTCAGTATTGCTGTGGCTATTTTGGGTCTTTTTTTTTTATTATTACAGACGAATTTTTGGAGAGTTCTTTCTAGGTCTGTGAAATATGCTGTTGGTATTTTAATGGGTAGTGCATTGAATCTATAGATTGCTTTGGGTAGTATGGATGTTTTAATGATGTTGATTCTACCAATACACGAACTTGGTATGTTCTTCCATCTGTTTATGATTTCTATCTCTTTTTTCAGTGTCCTGTTGTTTTCCATGTATAGGTCTTATACCTCCTTAGTTAAGTTTATTTCCAGATATCTTAATTTTCTAGGTGTGATGGTAAATGGGATTGTTTTGTGTTTGTTTGTTTTTTAATCTGTCTTTCTATAAGTTCACTATTGGTGTATAGAAATGCCATAGATTACTTGGCATTAATTTTGTATCCTGCTACATTGCCGAATTCATTTATTAAGCCAAATAGTTTTTTGATGGAGTCTTTAGGATTTTTTAAGTACAGTATCATGTCATCTGCAAATAAGGACAGTCCATGAACTGCTCTTAATCCATATTTTTCCATCATGTTCTCATCTGTGAGACCCAGTTTAAGTACAATCTATGCCAAAGGACTTTGATGTCTATTCTGCAACATACTCATTGTGCTTTACGATTATTTTTTGAATAGCATTTGTTACAATGTGTCAATATGGATTCTCTTTTTTACTAATATTTTTTCATATATAGTAAATTTAAAATAAATAAACAAGGCCTAATTTTACTTACCAAATTTAGTCTATTGCCAGCTCCCAATACAGTGCCTGAGACCATGTAGGTAGGTTCTTATTATATTATCTTAAAATGAATGTTTTCCTCCAGATTATTATTTTCCCTAATTTAAGTTTGGAAATTAATTCTGGTATGATTACACCAAGTAGATGGAGCGAGCACACGTCCATAACTCTCTCCTTACAGAAAGGATGCAATATTTTCCATACTTTTCTAAACTCAGGTGTACATGCCAGAGTTCTCTTTGCAAATTGAACTTCATTTGAAGGAGAGCAAACGTATTCATGAACTTAGTTTGTACTAAATATGATGAGATTTTACTTAAGTGACTCTATTTCTTTTAACTGCCTAGTTTTGAATGTAGCAACTTAGGTATGAATAAGCAACTTAGGTAACTGCCATTTCTTAAACCAAACAATATCCAGGCCTAAGCCTCGCTGCCGTGGGTGGAGCTAAGTGTCAGCCCCACCCAAACAAAGACTATGAAGGGGAATTCTTACTCCCAGAGGAAAATGAGGGACTCTTCCTAGAAACAAGGACCCAGAATGCCCAGGAGGCAGAAATGCCAAGGGATTAACACACTCATGATCGATTCAATCATAATTAATTTCTAGTGAAAATATACTTATATTCATATAAAAAGTCTACATTCACACTTTTATATTATAGTTTAGGTCTGTGATCATTTCTATGTCAATTATGACTTTCATTCTATTTCTACTTCATTTTTGAGACTCCAATTTATTTTTGCCTTTATTTATTAAACTACTCCTTGCTAGTGGTTTCTGTGATACTAGCTGTGGTCCCTGAAAATATTAGCTTATCTGTGGTTTGTTGGTCCTGCAGTTGCAGGGGTATTTCTGTCACTTGTGTTTTGTGGTATTTTTTATTTTTTTGTATTTATGGCACCTCCCAGATGAGTGCCTTCTTCAGTTTAATTACAATCCAGCTTATCCTTCCTTCCAAAATCATTTATGAAAATGTTAAATAAGACCAGCCATAATACCTACATCCCTGAAGCATGCTTCTCTATATTTTTTTAACTTGATGCATTGCCATTTATCATTAAATTCCTTTAGCCAATTTAAGTCCCACAAAGAATGTTAATATTGAGTGCAATTTGAGCTAAATTTTAATTAAGATTCCCTGAGACATGTGTTAAGTGATTTACTATAATCAAAATTGATATCTCCTTTGCTACCCCCAGTCATCCAATTTTCTAATTTTATCCACACACAAAAGGGAATGAGTTTGTCTGGCTTGAATAGTTCTCCATAAATATACATCATTCATTTTGACAAGTTCTGGAAATAGTTTCCTTTTCCTTTGCCTTTAGGACTATGTCTGTCATTCTCACATAAGCCTTTCCTCTGGCAACCACATCTATCTTAGCACCAAATACCAAAGCTTAGATTTAGCTGAATTAATGCCAGCTTCACAAATTCTCAAATTTCTTCTCTCTCTCCCTCTCACTCTCCCACCTCCCCTTACCCCTCCCCCTCCCCCTTATTCCTCCTCCTTCCCTTCTCCTTCTCCCTCTCTCCTATTTCTATAAATATTATCACTCTAAATGCAGTGGGTAATAAAACTAGAACTAGAATATGCACAGTTTTTTTCTGTGGATGGCATGATGGGGTATGTAAAGCACTTTGCACTTTATCAGGACAATAAATATAAACATTTGAAAGGGCCGTTCGTTAACATTGGGTTCCTGAATTTGAATTCAGCTTTCAAGGTAAATGTGCACATTCACATTTTATCTCAAAGGTACACCAGCGTGTCCAGAAGTCTCCCACCCCCCAAAGGATTCTGTTAATGATAAAGAACCAGTTTTCTAGAAGTGATGTTCATGGATGAAAATATATAAGAAAATATCAGTAAACAAAAACATTTATCTGCAAGTTTATTAAAATCATTCAGTGTTTTTTTCTTTTCTTTATTCAATAGGACACTTTTAATTGCGTTTTTCTTATGTGTAAAATGGGACCACCTTCCTTTTCTCATCCATCACTTTTGGTATGGTAAAAACAGAAAATTTTCGAATGTTTATAAAACATTTATATGATTTTCCACTAGAATTTATCCCCCCCTTAAGTAAATGTATTTTTATCAGAAGATGAAGGAACCTTATTTAACATTAAATTACTATCTTAATTACGCCATGTGATACTAATAATGGTTACTCTGTTTACACACACACACACACACACACACACACAAAATGACCCAAATATAGCATTTAACTGATATCATTTTCTCTAAAATAATTAAATATGTGCAAATTTGCCTTATAGATGCTTATGAAATATCACTTCAGGTATTCTGAATTGAATCCCTTTCCTAAAAAAAAATGAAAAAAAGTTTCTTGGGCTTGATATTTCAATTTTTACTTATTCTACACTTAGGGATGCATTTGTTTGATTTTAAAAAGCTAATACTCTAGGCTTGTTTATGATTTATAAGTCAGTGTGGACAGATTATAAGAATCTTTCCTAAATCCAATGTACACAAAGGGACATGAGAACAAAAGAATCTCTGGGAGACAAAAGCGAAAGCATAAGGGGTGGGGGCGATGGGGGCATGAGAGCAAAAGGAAGAAAGAGTAATAAAAGCCAACTTCACCAGTTTCCATTTCTCCAGGCCTCAGTCCATGTAATATGCGTGTATGTGTCAAGAGCAGGAGGTAAAACAGAGAAAAAATAATTACGTTTTCAATAGGGATATTAGATTTACTTCAGGGCTTTCCTCTTTTTGCCTTTATTAAGTTAAAATAAAGGTAGTCTTCAAGATCCAAAACCTTTCTCTTCAATCACTCTTACAAGAAAACTAGAGAAAGATCCTTCCTGATGTGATTGCTGCAGTAGCATAACCAAACCTGGTAGGTAGCCCCAATTCAAGAAAACAAGCGTGTATTCGCGAAGAAAACTTCCTTTACTGATTTTGTTTCTGTCTTTGAAAGCAAGCTGCTTTTGTTGGGTGGGAAATAACACAATAGTGAAAAGTTAAGTCCCAGAGGATTGATGTTGTGATTTTCAATTCCAGCTCACTGCATTCGACCCGGACGAAGGGACAAATGGGGAGATCTCCTATGAAATCCTGATTGGGGATCAGGGAGACTTCGTCATCAATAAAGAAACAGGGCTTGTCACCATCGCTCCAGGGGTGGAGCTGGTGGTGGGGCGAACCTACGCACTCACGGTCCAAGCCGCGGATAACGCTCCTCCTGCAGAGAGAAGGTAATTTCTGTTGGAACCAAAGCAGTGTTTTCATCGCTCCCATTAACCCCACAATTAAATTTAAGAAGCACAGCAAGCATCCTTTTATCCTGTGAACATCTAAATTAGATCCGAAAATCAGAGAGACCGGAATATTAGGAATTGCATATCCTTATTTGGTTCAGTTGTGGGAAGAGGAAAGTAAAGAGAAGATTAAACCACAAAATGATTAACTATAATTGCACAGATATGATGGCCGCAGGTCTCTGTTCAGGGGCTGGGCAGTGCAGAGCGGAAACTGGAAAATATCAGAGACATGTATATAATTTACTATTGAAAAGCAAGGTTGATGATATGAGATCTCAGAGAGCAGTAACATGGAATGTCTCAGATTTGAAGCCATGTCTCAGCGTCTCGGTAGTTATTAAAAAAAAAAATTTATATATATATATATATATATATATATATATATATATATATATATATTTTCTATCTATATACAAATATATACACATAAACACACACATATATATAGAAATATATACACACATCCTACCTATAGAATTTATCACTTACCTATAGAATGTATCAATATATATTCTCTGTGTTCATACTCAGCTAGATATTGTGAGAGGGTAAAAAGCAAAATTTCTCACTATTACAATGCATTTATCTAGTCACCCACCTGAGGTATCCCTTTTATTAATGTCTTGCTTATTTCCTGATTTTCTGTATGCATTTCAAGAAAATGTGAATGAATATAAATGCATTTTTGCACTTTGCTGAGTTCCCCTCCCCCCCGCCCTCACAATAAATCCTGGGTTATCTTTCCATATGAATACGGAATATTTCCCTCGAAACTTTTTTCATAGCTACATAATATTCCTTTATATGTAGATAATACTCTCAGAAATTCAATGAGGGTGGATTTTTAAATTTTAATTGCTCTTTTACTGACAGTAAAGTAATAAATAGCTTTGAACATACATCATATTCTATGTGGGCACCTATTTCAATAGACTAAATTCCCAGAAGTGAAACCAAAGGGTTTACGCACTTGTAGGTTTTAGAAATAACTGTCAAATTATACTATGTAGGTCTTAAAAAATTTACAATTCCAGTTGCCAAGTTGAGAATGATTAATTCTACACAGTCTCTTAGATGTGTGTCACATCAAATATTTGTCTTTTGTTTGTCTTTTTGCCAATCAAATAGGTAAAAAATAGCACTTATTTTATATCCATTTGCTTATGAGTTTGAGTACAATTCTTATGTCTAAGAGCCAGTTCTATTACTTTTTCTATAAAATCTGTGTTCATAGTCATTATCCATCTTCCTATTGATATGTAAGCCCAAGTAACTGTTATTGTTGGTTTTCTCCTAGTGATTTACTGGCTTCATATTATATGTTTAAATCTTTATTGTATTAGGGATTTATCCTACTATACAGCAAGATATTTTAGGAAATTTTGCCATTTTCTCCACTCAGTACTGGATATAGCTAGAGTAGGTTTACATGTGTGAGTACATGAAACAGTTTATTTTTGTATTGTATTAATTAATTGTATTATTTTACATATGAACAAGTGTATACCTACACTTGTTCTACCCTGTATATTGGATAGTTCATCTTTTTCTCACTAATTATAAATGTTACAGTTATTTTATCATGCATTTTCTTATGTGTATGACTTTGACTCTAGACTTATTCTCCTAAACCATTAGCTAACCTATTTTTTTCATGAGTAACTGTCAGATAATTTTAATTATTCAGGTATTAAACCATGCTTTATAATATGGTGATGCTATCTTACCTGAATGCTGTTTTTCCTAAAAAATTTTCTGGTTAATCTTTCTGTTATCTTTCTTTCCTTTACATTTAAACAACTTAGTTCAGTGTTTTTTTGTTTTGTTTTCTTTAACTGTGTATATATGTGTGTGTGTGTGTGTGTGTGTGTGTGTGTGTATATATATATTTGAATATAGATATGTTTAACATATTTTTATTGATTTTAGAGGAGAGAGATATAGAAACATAAATCATGAACAAGAATTATCGATTGGCTGCCTCCTGCATACCCCACACTGAGGATTGAGCCTGTGCCCTGGGTATATACCCTGACCAAGAATCCAACCCCAAGCTCCAGGTTCATAGGTCAACACTCAACCACTGAGCCATGCTGGCCACGCTTAACTGTATTTTTATTGAGAACATATCAAATATATAAATTAATTAGGGTTAAATTATTTCATTTTGATAATGAATCTTTCTAACCAAGAACTTCCTGCCTCTTTATTTGTATGCTTTATTTATGTCCTTTAGTAGCTTTTATTTTTTTAATATTTTCTTTGTATAAGTCCTATACATTTTTTTGTTGGTCTGTTTCTGTGTCTTGTTATTGTAAATAGAGTTGTTTTTCTTATTCTTCTTTCTGGTTGATGTTTATATATATGAAAGCTATTAGTTTCTTTATATAAATTTTAATCTACTTTCTTATTTAATTATCTTGTTTTTATAATTTTCAGTTGATTTCCTTATATTATCCAGGACTGTATTTTATAAATAGTGATAATTTTATATCGTTCTATCCATTATTTTTCTTTTAATTTCACTTGCTAGTTCTTACAATAAATATACTTTTTTTTATGAGTAGGAATGTTTTCTATGCTCTCATTTTATTAGATTCTTGGTTTTAAAAATATATATTTTATTAGCATAAGAAATTATTGTTCTATTCCTATTTTATTGACTTTTTGAAAATAATGGTAGCCTTGGCCAGTGTCCCAGTGGTCAGAGTGCCCCTCTGTGCACAGAAGGGTCATGGGTTCAATTCCCGTGTAATCAGGTTGTATGTTTGATCTCTGGCCTGGTCCAGGCGCATGAAGTAGGCAACCAATATATCTCTCTCTTCCCTTTTCTCCCTCCCTTCCTCTCTATTGTAAAAAATAAAAGTAAGGATGGTGGTTAATTCAGGTTAAATAAATACCTATCATCTATGCAGACAGTAATGCTTTTTTTTCTTGAGTAATGGGATGCTGGTTGACCTTAATATATGTTGTTTCTAAATAAACCTATTTTATATTTTTTATATGAATTCCATTAGGTTATGACATTTTAATTTTGAAATTTAGTTGCTGGATTATGTTTGTTATTTTATTTAGTGAAATTAGTGTGTTTTTATTTTTGAGAATTTTATGAAAATTTTATACACTTGTTGTAATATATCATAAAATAAACAAAACCCACAAGTAAATACAAGAATTAACTAGTGTAACAGCAAGTATAAATGTATTATAAAAATATTTTTAAATAAGAAGTAAATCCAAATTTGGTGCTCTGAAAAAAAAGAAACAACAAAAATCAAAATAAATAAACCACTAGCAAATCTACTAAAAAAGGAAAAAAGTACAAATTTACATAATACTAAGATGGAAATAATACAAAAACAAAATCACTATATTTATTATGAAATAGTTTTGCTTTAATAATGTAAAATTTGAAAACATGAATGAGCAGGATAATTTTTTTAAAAGACAATAATTTACCTAAATTGATCGCCCAAACTAAAAAAATATTAAGAGAACAATCTTATAGATGAAATAGCAAAAGTGTTCAAAGAGCTACTACCTAAAATTAGACCATAGCCAGGCAAATTGGCAGGAGAACTGTAACCAAAAAACCCCACCACCTTCAGAGCGAGTCTTTTCTCTCCTTTTTGCTCTGCTGGAGAGGAGATAAAAAAGCAATGTTTTCTCTGCAGTACATTCAAAAGGCAGGTTTATCTCTGCACACCCCTCTTATCTTTGACCATGGAGATTTAAGAGGTGGACCCCTAGTTTCTCATTGGTATTTTAAGACAGTTAGTTCTAATTCTCCTTATTATCCTCCCTTTTAATCTCTCAAGAATGTACCATCCATTACCCTTCCTTGATACTATCAGCTACAGAAGATCTGTTCCTCTCCCATTATCTCTTCTTCTCCCTAACCTCACCTCCCACTGTTATCTGCAGATTTTCTGGTCACTCTTATGGAGTTTAATTTCTGCCTTACTAACACTCACTTCCACAGTACTTGGGTCAAAATTCTTGGTGACTTCAATATTTAATATGTGTTTAAGGCATATGCAAACTTGTGGTCACCTTAGTCAACTAACCTTGGAGACAGGCTTAGTGCCTGACTTCTTTCAAACTCCAAACATGATCCTGAGCAACAACTCCAAGCTCATCTTGAAAACTTGCTCAGAAAGCAATGATTCCCACCCTTTTCACGTGGTTTTTTTGTTTGTTTGTTTTTTAATATATTTTATTGATTTTTTTACAAAGAGGAAGGGAGAGAGATAGAGAGCTAGAAACATTGATGAGAGAGAAACATCAACCAGCTGCCTCTTGCACACCCCCTGCTGGGGATGTGCCTGAAACCAAGGTACATGCCCTTGATCCGAATCAAACCTGGGACTTTTCAGTCCACAGACCAACGCTCTACCACTGAGCCAAACCGGTTTCGGCACCATTTTCACTTTTAACATCCCAATCCAAACTACTGCTCTCTCTACTTCAGGACTCTGAAAACCTCCTCTGATTAGAAGTCTAGTTAGACTTTTGCCAGAGCCCCCTTCAGTGGACTGCATGATTCTGGTAACAGTCTCATCTTTCCCTTTGCTTAGATTTTTTTCGTGCTTTTCCACTTCATTTTGAAGTAAAAGGCAAAATCATTAAAAAAGCCAGTGGGGCCTAGCACATTTTGTCATCTGCCACCAGCCATAGGACACTCCCTCTTGTCATATATTGTTATCTGGTCTTCTGCTCAGTTCTGCTTCTGTTAGACCTCTCCAGTTAGCTCTCTGGTCTCCTCTCTGTCCTTGAGACTGGCAGCTGCCTTCACATCTTTGAACTTCACTTTCACCTCCTCTGAGACTATACCAGCTACTTCCTCCATGTCCTCATTTCCTCTAGGTTTTAACCCCATTTTCACTTCCTTTTCTAACAACTTTTTACAGAAGCTTTTTCTAACAACTATTTAT